CTCCAATAGAAATATCCAACAAAGCCGATGAAGAATAGGGTTCTAATCTCTAGCCTCATATACCAATAGCTAATAAACAGGTCAAACGGATCAATGTCAATAGTCTATTGGCTCCATTCAGAAATTATTCTCAATGGGGTTGTTCTCCATTCGTCCCAATGGATAAATGTGCCAACCCTGCCTCTTTCAATTCATTTGACATATAATTGTTAATAATTCGTGATCCTGTGATCCAAATTTAATAATTTTAATATCATTCAATTCGTCCGATGAGACGAATCGAATGGTACTAAAATCGTTTAGTCTGGACCAATAGATAACGAGTTATGTGGGATTTTTTTACCAACTTCGCCAAATTTCCCCTATTTACCTTATATGCTTATATTTGAGTGTTGGATTCGTAAAAATTTGATTAATTTATTGGTTTATTTTATTTAAAAAAAGGTCAACAAGTAAATATCAGGCAACGTGCTTTAAGAAAAAGAGAGAGAGAAAAGGAAGCAGCAGCTAAATCTAAATCTCAATAATTTTAAGTACGACACTCGTCGTCCTCATAGTAGCATAACTATGGAGGTTATAAAAAAAAAAAATCTCGGTGATTTTAAATGATCAAATTTTTCTAATGTTTGTTTATAATTAAATATATTAAAATAACAAAGTTCCAATAATAATAACCTTGCATTATTTTTTATTTCTTATTTTTTGATTTCTAATAAAAATAAAAGTTTGTATATTCTTACATTAGTAAATTCGTCAATCAAACAAAAAACATATATTTACAATATATAATTTATACATTACTTTATTACTTTAACTATAACATGGCCAAAATTGGACGTACATTGTTGTCTTCAGGTTGATTTTTTTGTAATAAATCATTATCTCTCAAAAATTTGCGCGCGAAATATTCAATAATGTAAGCTATGGATAAAATAATGAGTATTAGTAGAAAGTCGATAGGATATTAAAAATTTTGAATTAACTTACCAACTTGCGCAGGTTTTTCCATTGGCACCTATATAAAGTATAAATTCACGTTGTAAGATTATTGATGAAGTATTTAGTATGAAAAATGTGTCAACTAACCAAATGGCCAGCATCTACAGATATAAGCTCACTATGTTGACATTGTGATGCTTTATGAAGAGACAGGTCTTTAAAACTACAAGGGAAAACCCATATTTATTTAAGAATGTATAACTTTTGACTAAAAGTAATTTTCTTATGATGCTTACTCGAAATTCGAAGAATCACCAACAACAAATAGAATGGGGCATTGAATTTTCGACATTTGATGAAATGTAGTGACTTGTAAACTCCTATCGTAAAAAAATGTATGCTGATATTTATAAATAAAAATAATTTTAGATAAGCCTTGAATTACGTTAAAAGGAAAAAAAAAAAAAAAACTTACAAACTCTTGAGTTTTAGGGCATTTTAAGGTAACTTCACCGGATGGCAATTCATATAATCCATATTGCTATATTTTGATTCATGAACCATTAATTTGAATTTTTAAATAAATAAATTAATATATAAAGAGTTATTACTCACAACATAGAGATTAAGCATTTCAGGGTCCCAACTTTGAAAAAATTTATTCATACTAAAATTATTATGCGCTGTTTCTCTGTTAAAATTTATGATAAAAATTGTTTTACTTAGCATTCATTCATTTATTTTAAAAAATATCATAGGCACTCTTACCTGTCTGGCCATATGTCTCTTCTTTTTGTAACGGTTGTATATTCAAGGTCCCAAAATTCAAGGAAAACAGGCCTAAGTATAGGCTCAATGACCAAAATACTAGAAAAAGTACCAGGCCGAAAATTTTCTGCCATTAACCTATAATTATCACGTGATTTAAGATTGTTAAAACCGCGAAAAAAACACTGTATTAATAAATAGAATAGAAAATTCTCTCACATGGAAGCTCCACCGAGTGAATGCCCTACACCAATAATTGGTTTTTGAATCTTCGCCTCATCGATAAGTTGAAGGATATCTCGAGCAAAATCGGACCATAGAACTAAATTTAATGATCTGATTAAATTTAAACAATACTAATAATGATATGTAATATACTAGTGTTTGGGCAAATCAAAAATATTTAGTCTGAGCGAAACTATTTTATATTGGTGAAATATTTCAGACTTTAAAAGGTACAAAATTACAATATATTTTGTAGGTTGAACCGAAATTAGTTTAGCCCGAAACACTATAATCAGGTGCAACCCTGACTATAATATACGTATGTAGTTAGAAGGGAAGATGGACTTACATTTATCAGGTAAAATATCTTTATTTAACACTGCACAATCTCCATGATTCGAACAATCCAAAGCCCACATATCTCCACCGTTCCATCGATGTCTTCGTTCATGCAACATATTTATGATAGGATTCCATAATTCTTTATGAAATCCGGTAGCATGTGCAAATATAAGAGATATTTTACCATCGTTGTTTTTTGTGTCATTGCCTGTTGTCACATATGAATTTGCAACGATTCGGAGATTACCACCTTTTCCTGGTGCTTTACGATCTAAAGAAGCCGGGAAATTATGTGAAATAATTTTAAGAGTTGACATTATTCTGTAAACATGTACAGTACGTACTTATATACTTATATCAGATATCGTGATCCTTATGCATCTATATAACGGTTTAGTAATTTATATTTTAGGATGACATAATCAAATTTATAATTGATAATCTGCGCTTACTACGTAGTAATCTTTTGATAGGTAGCTTAACCACAAAAAAACTTTTTATTTTCAAGTGGCTTATAGGTCTTCATTTTGCAGCACTCGTATAGATTGTCTTGTTAAACAATGCTTTTTAGAATGAATTTGGCATAGTTTTTTGAATTCAGTAAATCTGTTCATATGCATTATATATATATACGTATTTAAATTTTCTTTGTACTACTATTGCTGAATGATCAATTATACTTCTACATTCTGTTATCGTTATATTATATCCTTACTAATTTGGGAATCGGGTATATGTGTTTCACATGAATTTAATTTATAAATTCAATTGAATACTTTGAACAATTATCTAATTGCTGCATCATTGTCGACATGATGGTTCGGATGATGGCCCGGAAAATGTCTTCGAATTTTTTACGTTTTTTTTCTTTTTACTAAGACTTTATTTTTCAATTATAACAATAATATAAAGCAATATTTATACAATTTACATCACATATCTAATACATAGAATAATATAAATAAACTTGAATTTCGACATTATAATAGTTATTTCTTTTTAACCATTTGGTTTGTTTTCTGTGACATGTTTCGATAATTTATGTACTCTTTTTACAATTGATCATTCTTTTTCAAATTGATCGATATTTTCTTTCTGAATATTCATTGACTGTATGAAACTTGGTGAAATAGATAAGATGCTAACTTGTATATCGATAGAGTTTCGGATTTTCGTATCCTTCTTGAAATATTCAATGTCGGAAAGAAGTTGGCTATTATTGTTAACGTTACTAATGACAAGTTGAAAACTTTTCAATAGATATAATATACTTATTAGATCTTCGTTGCTAAATAGTTTTTAAATAAATTTTGAATTGTTATTAATTAAATTTAAAATACCAACCTAATTTTAATATCACTTTTAAACGATCGAACATTGCTTATTTTCACATTTGGCCATTATAGCTTCAATTGTGACTCATAAGCGACGAAAGTATTTGGCGAAGTAACATAGGTAGATTTGATATATTCTATTATTTTGTTTAATTTGATGGTTTCTTGCGTGCAAGTAACGACAATATAAAATATATACTTATAACAAAGTTTACATCGCTTTTATTTTTTGTAAGAAAAAAAAAACAACCGAAAAACATTATTGATTATTATAGTTTAAATAATGACAATAAGTAATTTTATTTTATTAGCTAGATGGCGTACGTACGTACGTACGTAAATACGTAATTTTTGTTTCTAGTTCCGAATGTTCATACCGTTCCGATCTAACTTTCCGGACGCTCATCCAATCCCAACCTGGTACACATTTTCCAGGTGCGAAAGAGAAGAACAGAATTAGTGAACAAGGAAAAAAAAAAAAAAAGAAGGAAACCAAATATCTTACCCGAAATGTCACTTGTGCGTTTGCCTAATGATGTTTCACTTCCCGGTGTTGTAAAAATTTTTATTAAAATTTCCCATGTGTATATTTTTGTATATTTTTCCTGTGTTTCGTTATTAAGTCGCTGGGTGTGGGAGATCTGGGTTTGGGACCACAGATCATGGAATGAGACCATGTATAATGGTTAAAGGTCGCTGGGTGTGGGAGATCTGGGTTTGGGACCACAGATCATGGAATGAGACCATGTATAATGGTTAAAGGAAAAAAGAATTTAGCAGGAGTCGTAAATGAAATAATAAATAACGTCCTTATGAATCGTATACTAACTAAAATACATTCCTTAATAACCCACTCCGAATCCTTTATAACCATTCATCTCGTATAACCTATGCTTGTAACCCTGAGCTATTTTCCCACGGTTAAACACCGGCGAAGCCTTACAAACCTGAAAAAAAAAACCGTAAATGAAATTTCTAAAAAGAAAACTTGATTGATGGATCTCGGATTAAGGAAATTAACCCCTAATCCGGCACCGTTGACTATCACCTACGGCGACAAACAAAAAAGTTTTTGAAAAAAACGAAAAGTAGAGAACAAAAAAGTTTTTTGAAAAAACGAAAAGTAGAAAAAAAAAAAGCTTTTCGAATACGAAAAGTAAAAAAAGTCTTTCGCTCACAGCAGAAAGGTAAGAAGCCTTTAGAATGAGAAAATATCCACAGACTAATAAGGTTAAAAAAAAAAAAAAACACCACAGACTAAAGTAGAAAAAAAAAATGCACCTTCGCTTGCGGCAGAAAAAAAAAGTAATAAGAAAAAAAAAAAGCACTTTCGCTCACGGCGGAAGGGTAAAAAGCTTTAGAATGTGAAAAATATCCACAGACTAAAGTAAAAAAAAATGCACCTTCGCTCACGGCAAAAGGGTTAAAAAAATGCACCTTCGCTCACGGCAGAAAGGTTAATGCACCTTCTCTCACGGCAAAAGGGTTAATCACCTTCGCTCACGGCAGAAGGGTTAATGCACCTTCGCTCACGGCAAAAGGGTTAAAAAAATGCATCTTCGCTCACTGCAAAAGAGTTAATGCACCTTCGCTCACGGCAGAAGGGTTAATGCACCTTCGCTCACCGCAAAAGGGTTAATGCACCTTCGCTCACCGCAAAAGGGTTAATGCACCTTCGCTCACGGCAGAAGGGTTAATGCACCTTCACTCACGGCAAAAGGGTTAAAAAAATGCATCTTCGCTCACGGCAAAAGAGTTAATGCACCTTCGCTCACGGCAGAAGGGTTAATGCACCTTCGCTCACGGCAAAAGGGTTAAAAAAATGCATCTTCGCTCACGGCAAAAGGGTTAAAAAAATGCACCTTCGCTCACGGCAAAAGGGTTAAAAAAAATGCACCTTCGCTCACGGCAAAAGGGTAATAATAATAATAATGCACCTTCGCTCACGGCAAAAGGATAAACATGGAAAAAACTTTTCAAAAGCGAAAAGTAAAAAAAATCGTAAAGTAAATAAAATTTCGCATGAAAGTATTAATTATATACAAAGATTCGTGCAAAGCAAAAAAAAACAACCCAAAATAGAAATATACATACCTAAATACCCCAAAACATAAACCAGCAAAGTTAAAAACGAATAAGCGACGACACAAAACGACGTGAATTACTACACCAATAAAAAAAACAAACAATGAAACTGCCAACAAAGTGAAACAAAAACACTAACAACACCAACAATAGTATTTCGCGACTTCAATAACAACGACACCAACGACGAAGGTATTCACCACTCCAATAACGACGAAACCAGCAACGAAAATATACATCATACTAATAACAACGACACCAACGACGAGGGTACTTTCGTAAAAAAAAAAAAAAAAAGAAGAGTATTAGTAATGCGTAGAGGTTGGATCCTTTGAATATCCATCATGGCTATTCAGTAAATATTCGCGGGTTTTTATGTTTACGAATGGCATTGAATGATTATCTGGATTTTGAATAAATACCTATCTATTATTGTAACCATGAATATTCACAACAAATATTCACGCAAATATTCATGAATCAATTATCAATTACAAACCCTCAACTATCCATGAATTTTGCGTAACAGAATATTGAATATTCAATGAATATCCATTTTTAACCGTGAATATTCATGGATCCAACCTCTAGTAATGCGTATAAAGATTCGTGCAAAGCAATAAAAAAAACAAACCGAAATGGAAGTATACGTACTTAAAATGCCCCAAAACATAACAACGCCAACAAAGTCGAAGACGAATAAGCGATGACACAACACCAATAAACGACGACACTACACCAATAAAAACAAACAGCAAATGACGAAACTGCCAACAAAATGAACAAAATCACTGACAACATCAACGAATGACTACGCCGGCCTATTTAAAAAAACACGTCATAAACAACGGCGACACCAACGACGATCAAAAGACACCAGTAATGACATCAGCGACGACACCAACGGCGACCAATATCGACGACACTAGCAGCGACCAAAAACACTAATGACACCTACGACGACGACCTAAAAGAAATGCCTAAGTTTGCACAGTTTAAAAAATCAAAAATTGAAAGCGATTATCATACGTGTAATCGGGTTTTACTAATTTACCCCCAACGTTTGATTGGATGATGATCTTCCAATCTCTTATTGGACAAAATTGGTAAACCATTAACGATATTATAATTTAGCTTGTCTCATTTGCCATATATGATCATGCGATATGGAATAGATTGTAACAGTATTTTGCCATGTATGGATTAGATTGTAATAACTTTCTATCATATATGGTTAGGTTGTAACAACTTTCTACCATATGTGGATTAGATTTAATTTGGATCTACACTCAGAACTTCCTTGTAATTCTGAGAAAGGAAATTTTATTTCTAAGAAAGGGAATTTTCATCCATCATTTTTATAAAACAAGTTCAAGAGCAAGAGCAAAAGCAAGAGCAATGATATTGAATTTGCTATTAATATTCATATGGTAATTTTTGACAACACCGACACAATAGTAAGCTGTTGTTAAAAAAGCTTCAAACAGCTATTTCTTTCATGTTTCGCTAAGAATAATTAACACAATTCTAAGTTTTACCAATTTTTTTTTTTTTTTCTGTTGGAAATTTTACAGGACAGATAAATTGATAATCACTAATCGTCAAAGTTCATAATAAAAGACTATAGCGAAAGAATTTGATTACTATTTCCAAATGCATATAATAATGGTGTGACTTAACCTGCTTAAGAACATAATTCTTATTTTAAGAAATTAACGTGATGAAAAACTGCTGATTTATAAATAATTAACTGACCAGAAGCTTAATGTTAAATATTGCATTGATCATCCGATTTTTTTTTTTACTTATCGGGATTAATACATATGCTTCCCAATATATATTATATATATATATATATATATTATATTATATATGTTCTGTGTTATTTTACAATTTAAATCAATTACAAATTGATCTAAATCATTATTAAATTTTGAAACAACATACGTTATTTCTTAATCAGTGAAAATATAAATTTATACGACTAGATCCTAAAAATAATATGATGATAATAAAATATTAATTATATCTTAAATATTCTTTTGTATAAATAAATAAGCCATAAAAAAATTTACACAATTTTTTTTTTATATATAAAATTAAAAAAAAATGTAACATTTGTCTTAACCAGCATGTTCTGTTGTTTATATGTGGTGCAAATTATCTCACAAAAATTTTTTAATTGAACAAACTTGCGCCCCAGGTTATTTTCAGTTGGCTTAATTATATGAAGTTCTTCAGTTGTACCAACATAAAGAATTTTAAAATTATGTTACCTAATATTTAAAATTTGGGTTTTGTAAATTGTTTGTACATTATATTTAATTTGATCCATTAAACTATGTTTGTTTTCATTTGATGAATAAAATTTCTAATATTTGATCAAAGGTTTCATACACCAGGAAGTTGTATTATTCTATTTTTAAAATTAATAAGAAAGATTTATTTAAAGTTAAACATTCAAAGACTATTTTTTTTTTTTTAATATTAAATAATATGGCATACATAATACATTTGTAGTATAATAAATTAATGTGATTATAAGATCTAATATTTATTAAATTTGAGATAAAGTCCTTCTATTTGCCACTAGGTGTGACCAATTATCCTATGTGACAAATTAGCACCAGCGCATATTGTAGCATTAAGAATTAATCCAAGCCATTTCTAAATCAGTGAAAATTTAAGAATGACGTAGGTCAATTCAAAATTGATCTAAATTGTGAAATGATGTCAAACATATATATATATATTATAGCCTGTCACAAGTGTCTCCTATATTTTTTTTACTAGGAGTGATAAAAAATCATTTTTCGCTGATTTAAAACATGTGAAAATTATGATTCGAATATATTAAATTTAAACCAGATTATAATCATCGCATGATTTAAATCAGTGAAATTAACATCCCTAATTTTTTTACTAATATTTGATCAAAATCTTATACTGCTATATATGTCATACATCAGAATAGAATTATTGTAGATTTAGAATTCACCTAAGCTGATTCCAAATAAACATAGATTGTAATAGAATTCTAAAATGTGCTCGAGTCGTTAAAAAATTTCAATGTGTATTCCAAATTATTTCAACAAATACGTTGTTTTGGAATTTAAGTCATTTTAAGATAGGAACTATTCATAACACAATGCATTGAAATTAATTAAATTTAAAAGCACGACCTGAAGTTTTATATCTATGATTAGTGGAATAGTTCTACTGTACTATTTATATTATTATTATTTTTTTTATTGATTAAGGAGACCTCTTTGGCCTGAAAGCTTTTATTAGGATTTGAAACGGTGTTTTATATGCAATTACA